AGATCGAAAACGACCCGGGTGTGGGCCTCAGAGGTCAAAAGGTCAGTGTTTATAAATAGTTTTATTAGAGGTGTAACGGTACACAAAAGTCACGGTTTGGTATGTTTTCATTATGGCAAAAAAATAGTAAAAAAAAAAAAAATGTAAACAGTGGTTTACTGAACCAGACTTAAAAGAAATAGTCCACCCAGAAAAGAAAATCCAAGATGTAGATGAGTTTGTTTCTTCATCAGATTTGGAGAAATTTAGGGCTGCGATGATAAATCGATGCAGAATTGATTCGTGGATGGATTCTGAGATTTCCGAATGCATCGTGATTCTCTCTGGAATCGATTCTGAGCTTAGATTTTAACAGCAGATCCGCACACTCAAACACTCATGAAGAAGAGCTGAAGAGCGCTTGTGTGTTCGGCTGAGTCTGTAATTTCACCTCGGCTCAGAATGCTTTTATGACGCGTAAATGTAAACACAGCCCACTGTGAACACCCTTGTGATTCGCTTCAACCTTTTCGAACTTTATGAATGATTATTTTAGGTTCACGTGTGTGTAAGGATTTGGCTGTTTCTAAAGCATGCAGCGCCATCTGCTGTTCAAAACTATAAACTCAGAATCGACTCGAGAAAGAATCGCCATGCATTTGGAAAATCTCAGAATCGATGCGGAATCATTTCTCGATTCGCGATGCATCGATTTATTTTCCCAGCCCTAACAGTGATGTGTCAGAACTCATAAGTATTGCAGTGACAAAATCTATATACAAGCAAAACATGAGGGCTCGTATCATAAAAGTTTCAAAACTCTGCTCTCTTCTGTCACATCCTTGTCTTTATTTTTCACATTGCCTGCGCATAATTTCACTGGCTTCTGCGGCAGATCACACTATAAATAAACACATAATCGCTTACTTTATGTCCTCCGTGTTTACTTCTGTATTGACAGCGCGCTGTGCAAGTGTTGCCAAGTCCACAATTTTCCCATGGAATTCGGATACTTTTTCACCGTTGCCGCGGGTTGTTTTTCAACCCCGTGGGGTAGAGTTTAAACAGCTCTAAAGAAATATGTGGCTGGATTTTGATGTGAGAGACAACATGAGATGCACTTTTTCACTGGAGGAAGCATGAATGAATTATAGACTCGGATTTTAGACAGAAACGCGACGGTTTGAAGTTAAAAACGATGGATTTGGTACACATGCATGCCGACGCAAAAGACTTGAGAGACAAAAATTCCCAAATACTTTATTCGTAAAAAAAAAAATTACAAATACATGTACCGTCACACCGCTCGGTGTTACAGTTTGTGATGTTCGCTGTTATAAAGCCACTGGAACATGAGTTCTGTGTTTGTGACAGAAAGCAGCGCTGGTGAAGCGACTGTCAGAGAGTCGACCGAAACTGAAAGACAGGACGAAGAAGAAGAAAGCAGAAAATCAGAGCGAAGCCAAGAACCAGACCGCATCCCGTAAGGAGTCGGCAGCGGCGCCTCGTAAGAAAGAAACTCCTGTGAAAACCAGCAAAACAAAGTCTGAATCCGTCGCACCGGCAGACGCTAAAACAACCGTGACGAGATCAACGCGCTCCAGAGATTCGGTGACAAAGACCGTCACGCCAGACGAGAGACGGACGGATAAAGTCACGCCAGACGAGAGACGGACGGATAAAGTCACGCCAGACGAGAGACGGACGGATAAAGTCACGCCAGACGAGCGACGGAAGGATAAAGTCACGCCAGACGAGAGACGGACGGATAAAGTCACGCCAGACGAGAGACGGACGGATAAAGTCACGCCAGCGAAGAGAGTGACGACAGTGAAGACGGTCGCTGAACGAAGGAGGATTTTACCATCCAGAAAGATCATTTTAGCAGCGAAGACGCTTTCTGCTCGCAGGAAACACGCACTGAACAGAAAGATAATTTCAACCGCCAAGAAACGGATAGACGCTCATAATCTCAAACAGGTTTGTGTGATGCAAGTTTAGCGACCTTTAAAGGCTTAGTTCAACCAAAAATGAAAATCAGGGTGTGTTTTACTCACCCCCGATGCATCCTAGGTGTATATGACTTTCTTCTTTCAGACGAATCCAGTCGGAGTTATATTAAAAATTGTCCTGGCTATTCCAAGCTCTATCATTGCAGTCAGCGGGTGTTGCAGTGCTTCAGTCCAAAAGAAGTGAAATAAAAAGCGCCCATCCATAAAAAAAAGTGTCTCACACGGCTCCGGGGGGTGAACAAAGGCCTCCTGTAGCGAATCGATGCGTTTTTGTAAGTTTTTTCTTACACTTTTTCTTATGGATGTGCGATTTTTATTTCACTTCTTTTGGACTGAAGCACTGCAACACCCACTGACTGCAATGATAGAGCCCGTATGACGACATAAAGGGAAGATTCCAGATTGGGCCATCTGAGCTTTCATTTTCTCAAAGGCGAAGCAGGATACCCAGGGCTCGGTTTACACCTATCGCCATTTCTAGCCACTGGGGGACCATAGGCAGGCTAGGGGAACTCATATTAATGTTAAAAAACCTCATAAAGTGACATTTTCATGCCATGGGACCTTTAATGTTGTTTTTTGTGTTGCAATCCTCCAGCCCTTGAGGATCACGCGCTCCACTGCAGATCTGACCCAGACCTCAAACCAAATCACTGCCACGCCGGCGAAGCCACCCGCTCTGAAACGAAAACGCTCTCAAACTGAATCTGATGTGAAGGAAGACGCTCATGTTCCTCTTCCTGTGACGAACAGCTCCGCCCCCTCCCCCCCAGCAGGTGAACTCAAGTCTTTTAATTGAGATTTGACATGAAATCTGGCATTAAAAAAATAGAAAAAAATAGGCACTACTCGTTTCATTTTGTGAGTTATTTTAACGCTGCAATACGGCAGATGTGCATAAAAAGTAGCTAGTACAAACAAAAAATCAGTTCAAATTTGTATTCTTGCCTTATACTGAAATCTGTTTTATTTAATTTTTTTCCAAAATTCCATTTTTTGGGGGGATTCCATTTTATTGATTAAATTACATTTTAGTAATCAAAAAGCATGTCTAATTAATTGCAACCTTGAAACTTATACAATTTAACAACAATTTTTTAAAAGTTTAACAAAAAATGCTTTCTTTCGAAGGTTTTTTCTTTTAAAAAAAAGGCCTTATGAAGGCCGTTTTATTTTTTTCCCAAATTCTGTGCTTTCCGTTTTATTTGTTCTGGATTCTGTTTTAATAGTTAAAGTGCATTTTAGTAATTATAAAGCATGTTTAATTAATTGTGATCATGAAACTTATATAATTTAACAACAATTTATCAAAGTTAAAAAAAAATGTAATTTTAGGACCCTATGAAAACTGTTTTTTTTTTTTCAAGTTCTGTTTTATTTTTCCCAAATTGTTTTCTGTTTTAATTTGGATTCCATTGTAATGGTTTAATTAAATTTGAATACTAAATTTTAATAAATTAATACATAAAAAAACGTCTAATCAGTTGAATTCCTTGTTTGAATATTACTGTTAAAATGGAGAAAAAAAATGTGCTATTCCTACATGTATATATATTTTTTAAAGTTTACATTTAAATAATCAAAAAGCATGTTTAATCAAATTCAGTTATATTTTCCACAAATTCTTTGTTTCCATTTTAATTTTCTTCAAATTCTGTTTTAATTACATCTTAATCATCAAACATCATGTGTAATCAAATCGATTTTGATTAGAATTATTAATCAATTACAATTACATTTTCCCCAAATTCTATGTTTTTGAATTATGCGTTTCTTTGAGAAGTATGTTTTACAATAGTAATTTATTTCTGTCATAATCTCTTCAGATTAAACTAAACTTTTGTTTTGGCGGTTTTCAGCGATGACAAACACTGACAGGGATGAGTAACATTGAGCAATAATATCATATTCACTTTTCAATCTAATCTAAGTAAGTCCTGCTTGCTGTATTTCCTGCTCAATGTTCAGTTTCACTCAGAAATAAGTCCCATTACCAAAGTGAAATGCTTAAAGCTGTTATTATAAGTTTGGATTATAATGCAGAGGGTTATTATAACCATAAAAAGCTGCTTATCTGATCAGAGCCGCTCGATTTACAGATTCAAAGAGGAAACGGCTCACAGAGGAGCAGACTCCTGCACCAGAAGAAATGGAGAAGAGCGAGGTCAAGAAGATAAACGCACAAGACAAGCCTGAACAGACAGAGACGGTGAATAAACCCAAGCAGACGAAGAGCGACGTTCTGATTGTCTCTGAAAAGCAGAATGAGACAAAAGAGGAGAAGAAAGCGATAGATGAAGAGGTGAGAGCGGACGAGAGCGCTTTGGAGATACGGAGGAGCAGCAGCGGTCTGACGTCTGTCTGTGTCTCTCAGAGGAGCAAGATCCTGGCCGAGAAGAGGCAGAGCGTGCTGAAGTCGCTGCAGGGATTGGTGACGTCTACAAGAGGAAAGACACAGACCGGCGCCGAACAGACGACGCACTGCGAGGAGCCGCAGAAATGGCCCGAGAGGAGCCGCGGGGCCCGGAGCCCCGTCAAACCCACGGCCGAGGAGGAGGAGAAAGATCCGGAGCAGAACGGAGAGCGTGACAGCAGGAACACAGAGTGAGTGAGATCAGTCAGCACTAGGGATGTAACCATATCAAAATGTCACAACTCGATAATACTGCGATATGAACTCCACAATGCAATATTAAAAAAAAAAAAAAGACAAATGAAGAATTGGAAAAAATTTACATTTTGTACATTTTAAAGTTCAATTATTCTATCTAATGCACTTTGAGAGTTCACAATTTAGAGCTTAACTAAGAAAACTTAAGTCAGAAAAAAGTCAGTGAATTGACTTGCACCTGCACTTTAAAGGGGACTCAACCCTCAGTTTTGTTATCGCGATATCACGATATTGATAATATCGTTACATCCCTAGTCAGCACTGATGAGTCTCTGAATGTAGCTCATAGTTAAGTTTCCATCCGCATGCAGAAACAGGGTTCCCGCGGATCCTTAAAAATACTTAAATTTAGTTTTATCAAATTTAAGTCCATAAAAAGTCTTAGGCTGATGATACACTGGGCAACTTTTTGGGCAGTGTTGCTGGGCAACTTTTCGGGCAGTGTTGCTGGGCATCTTTTCGGGCAGTGTTGCTGGGCATCTTTTTGGGCAATGTTGCTGGGCATCTTTTTGGGCAGTGTTGCTGGGCAACTTTTCGGGCAGTGTTGCTGGGCATCTTTTCGGGCAGTGTTGCTGGGCATCTTTTTGGGCAATGTTGCTGGGCATCTTTTTGGGCAGTGTTGCTGGGCAACTTTTCGGGCAGTGTTGCTGGGCAACTTTTCTGGCAGTGTTGCTGGGCAACTTGCAACCAGGTTAGACACAGGGCCCACGACCGATCTAAAATATCTAGATAGAAATTTGTTACCCATTCTCAATGGAAATGCCCCGTGTATCATCAGCCTTAATGTACAAGAAAGAAGGGGTGTTTAAATTAATCGATGCATCGCGATGCGGACGTGGAAGATTCTGCATCGATGCAGTAATAGACTATAATCGATTATAGCCTACTGACGGCATTTGCGTACGCGCTTGGCACGCTAGTTTAAAATGACGGAGGGAGGCAAAGTATTAAAAAAACGCATCCACTATTTTTAAGTTTGATAGATTCTGAGCTTGTTTTTTCCCGCATATGGCACGTGTGTGCGCTAGAGACAATCGCTGCGGACTTCATTGCACAGAATATGCGCTATGAGATGCGTGTTTTACTTTAGATATGCTTTCATTTATGACGTTTGGAATGCAGTAGGCTATGTGCGTATTAGATACACGAAACTCACGTACTGACAGACTTTCACGTGTGCTTTGTGTTTGTTTGTCCTGAAGCTCGCGGCTGCGGTTAAATGCACTTGCATCTCCGATTATGTTTATGATACGAAATTGATGTAGTAATTTCTGTTTTCAGAACAGGACAAAACATCTGATATGTCGAAACAGATCTGTGCATTAGTGTGAATGCAGCCTATTAAAGCTGCCACTGTCTATGATCTCAACACTAATAATAAGGCAATAATGCTGAGAGAAAAAAGAAAAACCCATAAGTATGATTGTCTGTAAACTTTCGGATACTTAAAGCACTCTCAGATACTGAAAGTACTTCTTGTTTATCACTTGTAATTGTCTTTTCCCCCTTTATTACTTTATATTTGCTTGTATGTTTTGAAGCTATATTTAGTTGGTTAAATTCTTAACAATTGTTTTTTGATTTATTATTAATTTGTAGGTATTTTAAAAAGTAGCCTGCTTATACAATTTAATAAAATTGCACAAAATAAATTTAATATAAAATGAATATCAAAATGTAACCATGTGCCTTAATATTGAAAATTGAGGATGAGATGCATCGTCATGCATTATGATATCAAATCGAATCGAATCGTTGACATGATAATTGGAATCAAATTGAATCGTGACACACCGACAAGAAACTCTTAATTATGATTTCAAGAGGTCTTAAATTTGGGGACAGAAAGACCAGAATTGCGATATGGCTTAATATGACGATTAAACTTCAAAAAGCTATGATTTGATTAAATAAACATGAGCACTGCACGATTCAAAATCCAGTGCTGCTGCTTTGTGTTCTGCTGTTACCGGGGAAAAGTTATATTTCTGCCATTCTGAAAGCGCCACCTGCTGGCAGAGAATGAATGTGTATTTTCAATAAGCCCGTCTGCTGTTTTTGTTCAGACCAATGCAAAAATCGGCCCGTGTTTTTACCACAAAACTCATGTTTTTACCAGATAACTATAACTGTGAGCTCTAAGAGAACAGCAGAGTTCATGCCGCAACTGTAACAATAAGGACACAGAGGAACGATATCACTGGAATCACTTTCAGAGAGGCTTTTTATTCACCTGATGAACGATAAAAATATTGGCAGCCAATCAGAAACATTTGACTTGATTGAGCATTTAAAGCGACAGGCGGCAAAACTGCAGTGCTTAGAATAAACAGAACATGATTGTGGTGTTGGTATAGATGCTTTAATAGCCATATCATACATTAACGATTATATTGTTATATTTTGATAGTTATCATTTATAGTTATTGTTATAGTTATAGTAGTTATTGTAATTTTTAGTTATCGTTATAGTTAATGTTTTTGTTGTAGTTATTGTTATCATTATTGTAATAGTTTGTAATAGTTGATGTTACTGTAATATGATCATATAGTAATAAAAGTTATGGTTACTTATAGTTATGATATTAGTTATTGTTATAGTTATCGTCATTAATGGAGTGTGTTTCTACAGACAGCAGAACAACAGCAGCAGCAGAGAGGAAGTGCGCAAAGGTGAGACGCACACATCACACCCAAAAAATACTGAATCCACGTGTGTGTGTGTGTGTATCTCTAACGGTGTGTGTGTGTGTGTGTGTGTGTGTGTGTGTCTCTCTCACCGTGTGTGTATCTCTTAACTGCGTGTGTGTGTGTGTGTCTCTCTCACCGTGTGTGTAT